CCCCAAAACCCCAAAACCCCAAAACCCCAAAACCCCAAAACCCCAAAACCCCAAAACCCCATTAAGTAGTTCTAAAATTGCTAAATAGTTTTTGCCCTTATAATGCATAGCAGATGGTGTTTCTTCTCAATTATTTGCTTACAAGCCTAACTCTTTAAAGGTAACCTTGACGTATTCTTTAAATTCATCCATGCTGAGCTGACCATCTTCATTTTGATCCAAGTCTACCATCATATCAGAGATTTCTTTTTCTGTGGGTGGATCCTTGCCAAGCTGCAAGGCTACATAGATGTTAGAGAAGGAAGGTAAAATTATACTACAAAGAGATTCTATCAATGCTCATACTCATCTTGAAAACTCTGGAAACAATTAGTTAATAGATAAGCAAATTGGTGAAAATGTTAAAATTTTATATTTTAAGCCAAATTATTTAAGAATGAAGCAGAATTAAAGCTTTACTGTTTCATTTTATGCTAAAGTACAACTCCTTAAGTTTTCTGACAAACTTTCAAATGTTGGAATTTATCCTACGAGATGTATCTACTCTATTCAATCCAAGTTCTTTGCTAGATTCCTTAAAAATACCAACTTCAAGCATTGATCCAAGGTAAATATATTAGAAATGGGCATACTAGTAAAATGGCCAAAGGAGTAATATTAAAGAATAATAATCAGCTAACAGTTCCAGCATAATTCAAGCAGACCAATGAGAACCTCAAAATTGTTGGTCTATTGTATTACAAGCTTCATAGAAAATATAGGTTTCCATGAAGGATCCCAGCCCTGGTAGAATTAAGAAAGTTTAGAATAACAAGTATCACTATTTCTTTAAAATCTTTATCTTCTTGACTTCTTGAAACCTAATTTTAAATTCCCTTAACCAAATTATTTTTCTTACCAATCTTTTGCACATGAGAGTGGAACTCAGACTTGTCAATATATCCGTTTCCATCAGCATCTGCTCCCATAAAAATTAGGCTGGAGACCTCGTCAATTTGGTAATCTGTGCTCATATTTAATTAACTAAATTTATTTCAACTTTACTTTCGTTAAAGGGGTTTTGGGGTTTTGGGGTTTTGGGGTTTTGGGG